CCCCCCCCTTCCCCGTGCTGGGCCTGGACTCCCGGGGGGTGGGCGGCCTCATGAACTCCTTCCCGCCACCTCAGGGTCACGCCCAGAACCCCCTGCAGGTCGGGGCTGAGCTCCAGTCCCGCTTCTTTGCCTCCCAGGGCTGCGCCCAGAGTCCATTCCAGGTGAGTAGGGGCCGGCCGTGGCGGGCCGGGCCGGGAGGGCGCCGACCCGCGGCCGCGGCCCACACGGCGCCTTGTCTTAGCAGGCCGCGCCGGCGCCCCCACCCACGCCCCAGCCCCCGGCGGCCGAGCCCCTCCAGGTGGACTTGCTCCCAGTTCTCGCCGCCGCCCAGGAGTCTGCCGCCGCCGCGGCCGCCGCCGCAGCTGCCGCTGCCGCCGCCGCCGTCGCTGCTGCGCCCCCGGCCCCGGCCGCCGCCTCCACAGTGGACACAGCGGCTCTGAAGCAGCCGCCGGCGCCCCCGCCGCCGCCCCCGCCGGTGTCGGCGCCCGCGGCCGAGACCGCGCCCCCTGTCTCTGCCGCCACCATCGCCGCAGCCGCGGCCACCGCCGTCGTAGCCCCAACCTCGACGGTCGCCGTGGCCCCTGTCGCCTCTGCCTTGGAGAAGAAGACAAAGAGCAAGGGGCCCTACATCTGCGCCCTGTGCGCCAAGGAGTTCAAGAACGGCTACAACCTCCGGAGGCACGAGGCCATCCACACGGGAGCCAAGGCCGGCCGGGTCCCCTCGGGTGCTATGAAGATGCCCACCATGGTGCCCCTGAGCCTCCTGAGCGTGCCCCAGCTGAGCGGAGCCGGCGGGGGAGGGGGAGAGGCGGGTGCGGGCGGCGGAGCGGCCGCCGTGGCCGCGGGTGGCGTGGTGACCACGACCGCCTCGGGAAAGCGCATCCGGAAGAACCACGCCTGTGAGATGTGCGGCAAGGCCTTCCGCGACGTCTACCACCTGAACCGACACAAGCTGTCGCACTCGGACGAGAAGCCCTACCAGTGCCCGGTGTGCCAGCAGCGCTTCAAGCGCAAGGACCGCATGAGCTACCACGTGCGCTCACATGACGGCGCTGTGCACAAGCCCTACAACTGCTCCCACTGTGGCAAGAGCTTCTCCCGGTGTGCACGGGGCCTCGGCCGCCCCCCGGGCGGGGGGGGGGGGGGGGGGGGGGAGGGAGGGACGGCAACGGAGGTGGCCTGGCCTTGGCTGGCGGGGAGGGAGGCGGCTTCTGAGGATGGGGACCGGGAGCCACTCCCCGGGAGGAGGGAGGAAAGCCTCTCCTGGTTACCAGGGAGCAGGGGGTGGTACTTAGCCAAGGAGGTGGGTCCTCCGCCTGGGAGGTGGCTTCGCGTGGGAGGAGGACTAGCCCGCCCGGCGGCAGGGGGAGGGATTTCCTGCCGCACAGGGACTCGCGAGCCTGGGGCTTGGGCGAAAGTGCAGGCAGTTTAGGAAAGGCCCGGTGTGCTAATAAGAATTAGGCCGGTTGGGGAGCACGTCCACACCGCAGGGCCCTAACCCCAACCCCAACGTATTCCCAGGCCGGATCACCTCAACAGTCACGTCAGACAAGTGCACTCAACAGAACGGCCCTTCAAATGTGAGGTAGGAAGCCCGCCTCCTCTTCCTGTCCCGGTTTTCATGATTTGGATCCTCATTGTAGCTGTTTGAGTTCAGCCTCTCAGACCCCCTTTTTCTCTCTCTTCTTTTTGCTTTTTCACGCCATTGTCTCATCCCTTTTTCAAGGCCTTGTCATCTCACTCCCATTTCCTACAGATCAGAGATCCCCAAGGCTCTGATTCCTTTAACCTCTTGCCCCCCTGTCCCCCCTCCCCGAAGCTTTAACTCTCCTGACACCCCC